CTGTGGTAGAAACATTTTTCTAGATATATCCCCACTGGAAAAGAAAACAAAAACAAAATTAAACTATTGGGCCTATACCAAAATAAGCTTTTACACAGTGAAGGAAATCATCAAGAAAATAAAAAAGACAACCCGCAGAATGGGAGAAGATATCTGCAAATGATATAACCAATAAGAGGTTATATCTAGTGGTGCCTGGGTAGCTCAATGGGTTAAGCCTCTGCCTTTGGCTCAGGTCATGATCTCAGGGTCCTGGGATCAAGCCCCGCCATCGGGCTCTCTGCTTGGCAGGGAGCCTGCTTCCCCCTCTCTCTCTGCTGCTCTGCCTATTTGTGAGCTCGCTCTCTCTCTGTCAAATAAATAAATAAATAATCTTAAAACAAAAAAAAAAAATAAAAAAGAGGTTAATATCCAAAATATACAAAGAACTTACACAACTCAACAGCAAAAAACCACAAATAATCCGATTAAAAATGGGCAGAGGACATGAATAGACATTTCTCCAAGAAGACATACAGAAGGGCCTAACAGATACAGGATCAATATCAGTAATCATCAGGGAAGTGCAAATCAAAACCACAATGAGAAATCACCTCACACCTGTCAGGATGGCTAAAATCAACAACACAAGAAACAAGAGGTGCTGGCAAGGATGTGGAGAAAACGGAATACTCATGCACTCTTGGTGGAAATGCAAACTGGCACAGCCACTGTGGAAAACAGTACAGAGGTTGCTTAGAAGCCTAAAAACAGAATCACCATATGATCCAGTAATTCCATCACTGGGTATTTAACCAAAGAAAATGAAAACACAAATTCAAAAAGATACATGCACCCCATGTTTATTGCAGCATTATTTACAATAGCCAAGATATGGAAGCAACCAAAGTATCCATCCACAAATGAATGGATAAAGAAGATGTGGTGTACGTATAGTGGAATAATATTCAGCCATCAAAAAGAATGAAATCTTGTCATTTGCAACAGATGGGTGGAGCTAGGGAGTATAATACTAAGTGAAATAAGTCAGAGAAAGACAAATACCATATGATTTCACTCATATGTGGAATTTAAGAAACAAAACAACTATGAAAAAAAAAGACAAACCAGACTCATATAGAGAACAAACTGGTAGTTCCAGAGGGGAGGTAGGTGGGGAGGTGGATAAAGTAGGTGAAGAGGATTAAGAGTATACTTGCGATGAGCACTGAGTAATATAGAGAATTGCTGAATCATTACATTTTACACCTGAAACTAATATAACACTGTATGTTATTATGAAATAACACTGTATGTTATGTTATGAAATTCAAAAAATTAATTAATTAATTAATAAAATTTTATTGACATATAACTGAATTCTCATAGTTAGGTATAATGAAGTCATAAAAACAGTAGTTTTCTTTTAAAGATTAATTAATTAATTTTAAGAGAGCACGCATGTGTGAGAGTACTGGGGTGCGGAAAGGGGCACAGGGAGAAGGAGAGTTTCAACCAGACTCTGCACTGAGCATGGAATCCAACGCAAGGCTTGATCTCATGGCCCTAAGATCACAACCTGAGCCAAAATCAAGTATCCAATATTTAACCCACTGTGCCTCCCGGGCGCCCCAGTAGTTTTCATTTAAATATAAAGCTTTACATGGGGTGCCTGGGTGGCTCAGGGGGTTAAAGCCTCTGCCTTCGGCTCAAGTCATGATCTCGGGGTCCTGGGATCGAGCCCCACATCGGGCTCTCTGCTCAGCGGGGAGCCTGCTTCCTCCTCTCTCTCTGCCTACCTCTCTGCCTACTTGTGATCTCTGTCAAATAAATAAATAAAATACATAAATCTTTAAAATAAATAAATAAATAAATAAATATAAGGCTTTACAGATAACAACTGTTTAACATCTATTATTTCATGTGATTTTTTCCACAACTTTGAGGTAGTCAGGGAAGGTGGTGTTATCCCCATTTCTCAGATAAGAAAAGTGAGGTTCAAAGAGCAACATATCCTTTCAGTCCAAGGTAACATATATAGTTCACTTAACCAGGAATTTTAACTGTAAATCTAGTATTATACATTACACTGAAAGGACTAATTCTCTCTTACTATTTTTTCTCTTAACTCTTTTTTTTCTAGTGTAGAACTTCCTTTCTCCTTTTTCATTAATATATTAAATACTGAAGGGCAAAAGTAGAGTCAAAGACAAGTAGATATATAATCACTTTAACTCTTACTTCTGTGGAAATTGAGAACTATCTAATGGGGGCAATTTTATGGTACTGTTTTCTCCAAATAATTCCATGGTTACTTCCATTTAGACAAACCAACTTATGAGCAAAGATTAATTTTTAATACCTACTATATAAAGTCTGATTGTACTTGCTCGAAATGCATAGGCATTAAAAGTCTCTGGGGGTGCCTGGGTGGCTCAGTGGGTTGAGCCTCTGCCTTCGGCTCGGGTCATGATCTCAGGGTCCTGGGACTGAGCCCCGCATTGTGCTCTCTGTTCAGCGGGTAGCCTGCTTCCCTTCCTCTCTCTCTGCCTGCCTCTCTGCCTACTTGTGATCTCTCTCTGTCAAATAAGTAAATTAAATTAAAAAAAAAAAGTCTCTGATGTGTTCTGTTATCAGGTCAGTAACTACTTTTATTCTATATAGTTTTCTGTACTAAGGGTTATGTCCTTAATCATTCATTAATATGGACTGGTCTTTGGAAATATTTCTATTTCTTTTTTAAAAATTTTTAAAAGAGATTTTATTTATTTGGGAGAGAGACAGAGAGAGACAAATAAATAAAACTTATTTATTTGGGAGACACAGATAGTAGGGGGAAGGACAGAGGGACAAGCGAACATGGGGCTCGATTCCAGGATCCTGCGATCATAACCTGAGTCAGAGTCAGATATTTAACTGACTGAGCCACCCAGGTGGCCCCCCAGAAAGATCTCTATTTCTGAAAGCAACTTAAGGTAAATCTCATTATATCTGCATATGATCACACAGTTTCCACATTAATTTCTCTACTCTTGAGGCAGAATGGGATAAAGAGCTAATACCTGAATTCCAGGAAGTAACAAACCAAGGATTAAGAGGCACAGGCCAAAAAAATGGATGTTAAGTTTTGGATTCAAATCTAGAGTTTGAGTTATCATAGTATAGTACAAAGAACCCCAAACTGGGACTTAGAAGACATGAGGTTAATATTGATTCCACCACTTGGTTATCTATGTAATTTTGAACCAGTCATCTTTATCTCCGATTATCCTTTTCTTCATCTTTACAATTAGGTTGAAAATACATTTTTAAAATATTTTGGGAGTGCCTGGGTGGCTCAGTTAGTTAGGCGTCTGCCTTTGGCTTGAGTCATGATCTTGGGGTCCTGGATCAAGCCCTGAGTCAGGCTCCCAGTTCATCCAGGAGTCTGCTTCTCCTTCTCCCTCTGCATCTCTGTCTCAAATAAATAAAATCTTTAAAAATAAATAAATAAATAAATAAAAATATTTTGCTTCCTATTTCCCAAGCTTATGGTGAGGGTCATATGACATAACATCTGTGAAACTATAAAGCCCTATTCAAATTAAAATAATACATATATACATATATACACATAAATATATGGTTTGTGTATGCTCAGCTACTTTCCAATATTAATTGAATTTGACTGATATTTGATGATCTAATTCAACAAGACATTCAACTATTCTAAGACATTCTAGAGTCGAAGATGAGTGAGTCATATCTCTAACTTCTAGGAATTCATAGTTAAGAGAGGACACAAATATTAAATAAGCAATTATACAATAAAGGGATAAAAAGGTAATAGATGCATACACTAAATTCTTTTAGAGTCTGATGAAAAGGTACACTAATCCTACATGATGCCAAAGGGACAGATGTCACAGAGGAGATAACAACTAGGCTTAAAGGAAGGGGTTAAGTTGCTAGAATTTTATCCAAATACATGGAATTCATGATAGAACACAAAAATACCACAAGATCTGTGTTGTAACTGGCTCTGCCTTCAGCAGTTAAAATAGTACTTGACCTCTTTAGACCTCTCTCACCACAACTCTAAAATGAAAGGTTTAGGTAAGACAAATTTCTAAGTCCTTCCAGCTCTAAAATTATATGATTTTATAAGTCAAACTCTGGTCCTTGTAGAGATACCAAGAAAGAGAAATCAAGAGAGTAATAAAATAGTCACAACTATTTAAAAAGGAGTTTTTCCATTAACTACTTTTTCTTGGAATTTAAAAGCCTGAGAATGATATTTATCTCTACCTTGAAGAAGCTGTAGCACAGTAAAGACAGGAAATTGGAATGAAATCAACAAGCTGAGAACCAGACAATGCAAGTAGATACCAGGAAGTCAGGCCTTCAGTTCAGTAAAGATATTGCTTAGACCACTAAGGAAATAGGCAATAATGAGAAGTTATAATGTTTTTATTCCTATTTACTAAAAAACTTGGAATAAAATCACAACCAGATATTATAATGTACTCTTCCCTAAAATGAGGTAGTTGTTTAAAGTTTTGCCTTGTTAAACTACTTCTTAAAAAGTATTTGTATAAAAGGTCGGTTTAAAAATTATAAAGAAAAGGATCAAAAGCGGGCACCTGGGTGGCTCAGAGGATTAAGCCTCTGCCTTCAGCTTGGGTCATGGTCTCAGGGTCCTGGGATCAAGTCCCGTATGGGGCTCTCTGCTCAGCAGGGAGCTTGCTTCCTCCCTCTTTCTCTGCCTGCCTCTTTGCCTAGTTGGGATCATCTCTCTCTGTGTGTCAAATAAATAAATAAAATCTTAAAAAAAAAAAAAAAGGATCAAAAGCCTAAATATGCACAACTAAGTTTGTTTCAGGAATGGTACCAAAGGCAGATACTATCAAGTAATGTACTTCACCAAACATTTATTAAACTATATTTAAAAGTTCTAGTTGTTGTAAAGTATAGTCCCAGTACTGAAGGGGTTCACTGAGCTAATATCAAGACTTTAAGGAAGAAAAAATAGTAACTCTTACCCATCAATCATATTTTCAGGTGGGTGTTTTTCATCACTTGATGTAGCTAAAATCACTTCAGTCCCCTCAGAGCTCAAACACAGATCAATTTTTCTCATCTTAAGGTGTTAATCTGCAAATAAAACAATAATAACAAAAGCAAATTCTTGATTCTCTGAACTTCATCTGAGAAAAGGGAAAGAGAAAGCCTGTTGCCTAGCACACAGCTTAACAACCAAGCTATTCAACAAGTGGGAGGGACTCTAACATGGTTATTTATATAAGTAAACTTCTAACCTCCCCCAGGACTAATCTGTGAGATAATGATTATTTCCACTATTTGACTCCACAAAACAAGATACTGAGTACTTGGGGTGCCTGGGTGGCTCAGTGGGTTAAGCCTCTGCGTTTGGCTCAGGTCATGATCTCAGTGTGCCTGGGATCCAGCCCTGCATCTGGCTCTCCACTCAGTGGGGAGCCTGCTTCCCCCTCTCTCTGCCTACTTGTGATCTCTCTTTCTCTCTGTTGAATAAATGAATAAAAGCTTTAAAAAAAAGACACTGATTAACTGACATCATTATTCTAAAATTAAAAGTCCTCAATAATGATACAGAAACAGTTAAAGGATAAGGTAACATGATTAATGGATAAGTTTTTTTTTTTTTTTAAGATTTTTATTTATTTATTTGACAGACAGAGATCACAAGTAGGCAGAGAGGAAGGTACAGAGAGAGAGGAAGGGAAGCAGGCTCCCCGCTGAGCGGAGAGCCCGACGCGGGGCTCGATCCCAGGACCCTGAGATCATGACCTGAGCCTAAGGCAGAGGCTTTAACCCACTGAGCCACCCAGGCGCCCTGGTTAATGGATGAGTTTTTAAAAATTATTTATATCATTCTATTTCTCTTTTTTCTTAAGACTTTATTTATTTATTTCACAGACCGAGATCACAAGCAGGCAAAGAGAGAGGGGGAAGCAGGTTCCCTGCTGATCAGAGAGCCGGATGCAGGGCTCCATCCCAGGACCCTGAAACCATGACCCAAGCCAAAGGCAGAGGCTTTAACCCACTGAGCCACCCAGACGCCCCTGTATCATTCTATTTCTGAAATTAAAAAAAATCTGGAACATAAGAACATATTTTTGTGACTTTTTTTTCTTTTTTCAAGTAGGCGCTACACCGAGCACAGAGCCCAACTTGGGGTTTTAACCCAGGACTGTGAAATCAAGAGTCAGAGGCTCAACCAACTGAGCCACCCAGGCATACTACGTGACTGTTTATCCATACATTTATCAACTAAAGTAGCAAATAGTATTATCCACATGTTTAAAAATATCTTACCATCATTATTTTTGGAGCAACATATAAAATAAGAGAGAAGACAAATTTTGTTTATTTTTAAATTCTGTATTAGTCACTTGGGTCATGGATTTAAAGACATTTCTATTGCATGGTAATATTTTGAGCTTAATAAAAATATCCTGAAAAGATAAGGACCTTGGTCGATTAGACAGAGAAGGCAAGAGAAGACTCTATCAGATCTCATTCACCTTCCTCCTTGATCTGGTGGTGACAGGGCACGGACAAATATATAGAAGCAAAGTGACTGTAAAAGCTGTATCTATAAAGAATTAATGGACAGAGAGTGTTTGGAAAAAGAAGGCTTCCAATACCCTTTATACCCCAGCCTCCGGCTAATATTTTATCTTATTTTTTTTAAAGATTATATTTATTTATTTGAAAGAGAGAGATCACAAGTAGGCAGAAAGGCAGGCAGATAGGGAGAGGGAAGCAGGCTCCCCACTGAGCAAAGAGCCTGATGCGGGGCTCGAACCCAGGAGCCTGGGATCATGACCTGAGCCGAAGGCAGAGGCTTTAACCCACTGAGCCACCCAGGTGCCCCTCCGGCTAATATTTGAAAAAATGAAGCTATTTCAAATAAATAATCAACAAAGTACAGAGAATATCACATATGTTAAGCAACTACGTACTCCCTAGATTTAATAAATGTTAACATTTTTGCCTATTTCCTTCCTTGTCCAGAGGTACTAGCTATTCTGAAGTTGATTAGTATCTCTCCTTGCTATATTTTATTATACTTTTATCATATATGTACCCATAAACGACATGTACTATCCTTTTAAAAGCTGGATGATTTCTTAGGGGCCCTGGGTCACTCAGTAGGTTAAAGCCTCTGCCTTCAGCTCAGGTCATGATCCCAGGGTCCTGGAATCGAGTTCCGCATCGGGCTCTCTGCTCAGCGGGGAGCCTCTTCCCCCTCTCTCTGTCTCTGCCTGCCTCTCTGCCTACTTGTGATCTCTGTCAAATAAATAAATAAAATCTTTAAAAATAAATAAATAAATAAAAGATGATCTCTCAGTATTTATATCCTTATACTACTTGCTTTTTTCATTCAATATTGTGTTTTCAAGATTTTTTGGGTTTTTTTAAAAAGATTTTATTTAGTTATTTGACAGACAGAGATCACAAGTAGGCAGAGAGGCAGGCAGAGACAGAGAGGAGAGGAAGCAGGCTCCCTGCCAAGCAGAGAGCCTGATGCGGGGCCGGATCCCAGGACCCCCGGGATCATGACCCGAGCTGAAGGCAGAGGCTTAACCCACTGAGCCACCCAGGTGCCCGTTTTCAAGTTTTTATTGTGTTGATACATGTAAATCTACTTTATTCACTTTAACTGCTGTCAGGTATTTCTCCATTTCTGTAATGATGAATATTAAGGTGTTTCCGATTTTTTGCTGTTATAAACAAATTTGAAATGTATATCTTTGTGTATATATCCTTAGCATATGTGGGAGAAAGTCTTATGATAACAGTACCTTTCTTACGTTGTGCTGTCTACTTATTGCAGGTGAACATTGATTTCATATCACAGAAAATTGGCAGCTAAAGCAAAAAAGAAAACCATATTTAATTAGGTGTGATTTCACTGTTTCTTAAGACAAGGCATCCTATAAGGGCTTAATAAAAATGTCATCAGGAGGGCTAAAAAAAAGAAAAAGTGCCTTTCTTTACAGAAGTAAAATTGCAGAAACTTAGAATCAGCATATCTTCAAGTCAGTAATTGATCAATTTGATCTTGAAATTTTAACAATTTACATTACCATCTATAGTGTTTGAGAGTTTCTGCTTCCTCATATTTTCACCAACTTGGTATTATTAGAGGTTTTGGCTTTAGCCCATCTCATTGGTGTGAAATAATATCTTGATAAGGTTATAATTTGTATTTCCATGATTAGTAGTGAGGTTGAATACTGTTTCATATGATTATGAGCCATTCAGGCCTCTTTTTCTGTTATTTGCTTTTCCTCATCCTTTGTTCATTTTGCTACTGCGGTGTTTTCTAAAAATTTTGTCCGTTTCTTTTTGATTTGTAGGAATTTTTAAAAATAAAACCTTCTGGATACAAATTCTTTGTTACATGTGTTGCAAATATCTTCTCCTTCTCTGTAGCTTGATTTTCCCTTTTAACTTTGCTTTTTTGTGTTTCTCCACCCCCGCACACTTTTTTTTTTTTTTTTTTTTTTTTTTACTGAACTATAACATACATAAAGAGGAGAACACAAATCAGAAGTATACAGAGCAATAACTTTTCACAAAGTTAACACACCCAGGTAATCACCAGCCAGGGTAAAGAAACAGAATATTACCAGCATTTGAGAAGCCATCTGCACGCCCCCTCCCAAACACTTCCCTCGCTCCTTCCCAAAAAGCAGCACGGTCCTTTTTTCAAACAGATTAATATTGCCTGAAATGTATATATATAGAATCATACAGCTTGCACTCATTTGCATCTGGTTTCTTTCACTCATCATTATGTTTTTGAGACTTAGCCATATTGCTGTGTCACAGAGTTAAAGTGCAACTAAGTAAAGTCAAATTACTACCCAGCCCCAACCCACCTCAACCCCTAATAAGATCAAAGAAACCATGCCCTAAGTGGAGCTTCACAGGACACCGGGTATATGAACTGAAAAGCAAAGAAAGATTTATGTGATCTTGGTTACTTAGATCTCAAATCCCTGATGGAGGGAACTGATCTCTCTCCCAAATACCTGCAATCAGAGGTAAACTGAAGTCCGATCCCTAGGAGGACTGAAGTGATGTGCCCCTTATCCTGTCTGTGAGGCAAAGAAAATGTTGTGTTCTCTCTGAGAAAAAGGCATTACCTACTTCAGTGTCTATTACTCTTTTTTTCTTTTCTTTTCTTTTTTTTTTTAAACATAGAATGTATTATTTGTTTCAGGGGTACAGACCTGTGATTCATCAGCCTTACACAATTCACAGCGCTCACTACAGCACATACCCTCCCCAATGTCTATCACCAAGCTACCCTATCCCTCCCACCCTTCTCCCCTCCAGTAACCCTGTTTGTTTCCTGAGATTGAGTCTCTTAATCTCCCTTTGTCTCCCTCTCTGGTTTGTCTTGTTTCATTTTTCCCTCCCTTCCCCTGTGATCCTGTCTTGGTTCTCAAACTCCTCATATCAGTGAGATCATATAACAATTGTCTTTTTCTGATTGACTTATTTCACTTAGCATAATAGCATCTAGCTCCATCCACATCGTTGCAAATGACACGATTTCGTTTTTTGATGGCTGCATAATATTCCAGTGTCTATCATTCTTTTAAACACAACATTCAATGCACAAAATCACTTCAGCAGATCTATAGATGACCCAAGTATTGGAATTAGCAAAGACAGCTACTATGAGTCTGTTACATAATTTAGTGAAAAGATGGACAAAATGGGAGAATAGAAAGGGAATTTTAGCAGAGAAATGGAAACTCTAAAAAAGAACAAAATGAAAATTCCAGAACTGAAAAGTATAGTATCTCAAAAAAAGAATTCATTAGGGGCGCCTGGGTGGCTCAGTGGGTTAAAGCCTCTGCCTTCAGCTCAGGTCATGATCTCAGGGTCCTGGGATCGAGCCCCACATCGGGCTCTCTGCTCGGCAGGGAGTCTGGTTCCTCCCTCTCTCTCTGCCTGCCTCTCTGCCCACTTGTGATCTCTGTCAAATAAATAAATAAAATCTTAAAAAAAATTCATTAGATGGACTTAGCATTAGACTGGACTCAACATAAGAATGGGTCACTGAACTTAAACATAGGTCAACAGAAATGATCCAAAATGAAATACAGAGAAAAAAATGAAAGTAGCAGAACAGAGCATCAGATACCTGTGAAACACTATCAAACTATTTAGATATACATGTAACACATAAAGAGAAGAGAAAAAGAGTAGCTTAGGGAAAAATCTGAACAGATATAGCTGAAATTTTTCCAAAATCTATGAAAGACATAAACCCAAGATCCAAGAGCTCTTGAACCCTAAGTTGGATAAATGCCACAAAGAAAACCCCAATTAGACACATCTTAGTCAACTGCTGAAAATTAAAGAAAATATTAAAAAATATTAAAAATTAATCAAAGCAAAAAACACATTACATCTAGGAGAACAAGAATAAAAATTGTCTTCTCATCAGAAACAATGGGGGCCAAAAGACAGTGGAATGACATCTTTAAAGTGCTAACACAAAATTTAGAAATCTTGGGATGCCTGGGTGGCTCAGTTGATTAAGACACTGCCTTCGGCTCAGGTCATGATCCTGGAGTTCTGGGATCAAGTCCCACATCAGGCTCCCGGCTCTGCGGGGAGTCTGCTTCTCCCTCTGACCTTCTCCCCTCTCATGCCCCCCCCCCAATAAATAAATAAAATCTTTAAGAAAAAAAAAATTTAGAATTCTACATCCAGCAAAAATATTCTTTGAAAATGAAAGCAAAATAAAGGCATTTTCAGGCAAACGAAAGCTGAAAGTATTTATCAGTAAACACATGCTACAAAAAATATTAAAGGAAGTTCTATAGGCTGAAGGGAAATGATTCCAGGTTGAATCCTGGGTATATGGAAAGGAAGAGCACTAGTAATAGTACAGGTCTTGCTAACATAAAAGACTTTTAAAAATAGCAATGAATGGTAGGGATTTAATAGATGTAGAAATAATAAATACAGTAATAGTACAAAAGCCAAAAGGAGGATAAATGAGACTGTACTTTTTGTATAGTCCTTTTATAAAGTTCTTATGTTGAACATTAAGTGATACGATATTAATTCAAAGTAGACTAGGATGTTAAGGATACATGTTATAATCCTAGGATCAGAATAAATTCACCACTAAAAGCCATAAAACAAAAAGTTAAAGGAAGGCCAACAGAAAAGAAAAAATGAAATATCATAAAAATACCTGATAAATCTGAAAGGCCAAAAAGGAGAAGAATAAAGAGAAACAGAAAATAAACAGCAAGAAGATACTTTAAAACACAAATACATTATTCCATTAAGCGTTAATAAACTAAACACTATTTAATCAACTGAATTTAAATAAAGCCAACAGATACCCCTTTCAAGAGACACACTGTAGGGTGCATGGGTGGCTCAGTGGGTTAAGCCTCTGCCTTTGGCTCAGGTCATGATCTCAGGGTCCTGGGATCGAGTCCGGCATTGGGCTCTCTGCTCAGCGGAGAGTCTGCTTCCCCCTCTCTCTCTGCCTGCCTCTCTGCCTACTTGTGATTTTTCTGTGTGTCAAATAAATAAATAAAATCTTAAAAAAAAGAGACACACTGTAAATATAACGACAGACTGAACATAAAATGATAGAATAATAAGTCTTAACATCTGATAAACTCCTCTACTTAATTTTAAAAATTCTATGCTTTGTACCTTAATTATTAGGAAGATTTTTAAGCTCAGGAAAAAAATTTTGAGATGTTGATTGTAATTCAATTCCATTTATAAATTAATTTGGAGAGGATATCATGATAATGAGTCTTCAAATACATAGATCTTCATTTATTCATTTATCTTCTTCATATCTCCCCATTTATTTAAGACTTCTTTTAAGTCCTGAAATTATTCTCTAGTTTTCCCCAAACATATTTTCACCTCTTTTTTCAGATTAATTATTAGATGTCTTATGGTTTCTGTTGCTATTGTAAACGGGATATTTTTTAAAATAACATTATTTTTAAAAAGTCTTATTCTTTACCATACAAGGAATATTTCTAACATTTCCCCATCAAATGTGATGTTCACTGAAGATTTTGCTAGACACTGTTAACCAGGTTATAGAGATTTCCTTCTCTTTTTGTGCATTAAATTTTATTTTTCCACAAATAAACTGAATTTTATCAAATGTTCTTCTAACATCTACTAAGATGGTTATGTAGATTTTTGTACAGGTTGATAATGTGATAAATTATATCAAGATTTTCTATTGTTATAGTATCCCCAGTTCCTAGCCTGAACTCTATCTACATGGCCAAGGTATATTATCATTTTCATCCATAGTTGGGTTCAGTTTGCTAATATTTTATTTAGGATTTTTACAAGCATATTTCTAAATGAGACTGGCTTATAATTTTCTTTTGTTATTCAGTCACTGTTTTTTTTTTTTTAAGGTTTTATTTATTTATTTGAGAGAGAGAAAGAGGGTGTGGGGTGGAGTTGAATCAGAGGGAAAGAGACAAGCAGACTCTCATCTGTGTGCAGGGCCGATGGGGTAGGGTCTTGATCTCACAACCCTGAGAACATGACTTGAGCAGAAATCAAGAGTTGGACGCACAATGGACAGAGCCACCAAGGCACTCCTCTACCTGGCTTTATAATCAAGATTGTAATCTTGTTGTATAATCAACATAAATAAGTTAGAGAGCTTCCCCCTTTTCTAGTTGTTGGAGCAATTTGTATAAGACAGAGGTTATTTGATCCTGTAAGCCTGCTAAAATCTACTGGCAGGTAGATTCTTTTTACTATTTCAAATTCAACTGTTCTTTTCAGGCTTTCCCTATCACCTTGAGTCAATTTTCAAATATATATTTTGGGGGTGC